GTAATCAAAAACCTAAAAGTTTTGGGTTTTTTATTCCCCAAGAATCCAGTTGAGAAACAGCAGGAATAAAGGAATAGCGTGACGACAGCGAAAGTGAGGGTCTCAAATTACGAGAACACAATATCTCAAAATAATGGCACTTGCCTACATTGAAAAAAGTCGAACCGTGCACCTGTCGTCAACTCACGGGTAGCAATTCAAGGCGAATTTACCGGGTATGTGGAGCAACAGAATAGAGAACCTAAGCCAATCCGGGTACAGAGGGGTAGATCAGTTCCTTTCCCCCTGATCTCGGTCTATGACAGGTTTTGTCACGGGTATATATCTAGTTTGTCTGTGTCATGGTCCGTGCAGGTAATTACTCATTTGGCCAAGGCTGAGGTTTGAATAGCCGTTCAACAACCCGCTGGGTTTAATTGATTGTTAAACTTAAAAACCTGCGAGGGGATAATTTAACCGTGAATAGTGAGTGAGTCATCTAACATATACACTAAGAATCCAAGTAAAGGGGGATGTATAAAGGGGGTAGATTGAGTCCTCGCATTGTCAACATGTCAACTTTAGTTTAGTTTATGTAGCAAAAATTGAAATGCTCGTGAGGGTCGGTAGGTATTTTTTTAAAATTCAAAATGTTCATACTGAAATTTCTGACTATTTCTACACCGATAGTTCTACACAGGTGTATGCCACTTTGGAGTATTTTAAATGTTGACAAGTGCCATTAGAGTTGAGAAGATGAACCTGACTACATATATTGTTTATAACGACATGGTTATTTATTGGTGGAAATATCTAGAAAGTTTATATTAGACTTCTACAGACTTGCTGATATGATCGATTGTCCAGGAAAGACAAGGATGGATGATGTCGCAAGCGCTGATGTTTGTTCCTCTGCTGTTGATGCTACAAGGGGCATTTACACGCATCTAAACATTTGACAACTTTTCAGAATAGACAATATTGTTCCAGTCAAATTGGATACGTACTTTTATTATCTTACTTTTAAGTGTTTAACTTCACAGCGTATTCGGGAGTATAAGGATATATTATACGTGCGCTTCTTTTCTTGTGCGATTTAAAGGTGAAATGGGGTTTAACGTCGCGTCTAAGATTATTGCGCTTATATAGCGACGTGCATGCACGGTCGTGTGTGTGGCTGCTTGTACTAATTCGGACTGATGCCGATTTATAGTGCTAGCACACTGAGATACCATGTCGCAGTTTAACATGAATAGCCCACTCAGACACAGTATACTGACTCCGAGCCGACCAGTCCTTGTTATAGCCCCTTGAAGTCGAGCGCCAGACAGGGTAACAACAAGTACCATATTTTAACGTCTTTTGGTATAACATCTTTTGGGATCGAACCCCGGACCTTCCGCTCTCCGGGCGGACGCTCTACCACTAGACCACGGAGGCGGCACTGTGTGATTTAAAAGATACTATCCCAACTGTTGAAGAACTTCTCTATGGAAATACCAGCCAGTTCCTTGGTCTAGTGGATAGAGCGTCTGCCCGGAAAGCGGAAGGTCGTGGGTTCGATCCCCCACCGCGTCATGCCAAAAGACGTTAAAATATGGTACGTGTTGTTACCCTACCCAGCGCAAGTAAGGACTGATCGGCTCGGACTCAGTATATTGTGTGGGGTATTCATATTAAACTGCGGTAAGGTGTCACGGGTTGCTACACTATGAATCGGCATCAGTCCGGACTAGTTGAAGCACACACACACACACACACACACACACACACACACACACACGTCACTATATAAGCGCAACAATCTTGAACGCGACGTGAAACCCCATCTCCCTAATGGGTATATTTAGCGTGGTGTTATTTTAGTCGATATTTGTTTGGAAATATATTATACACGCAACGCAGTACGTTATACCAGCGAACAGCGCTACTATATACGTGGACGTTTAAAAATGTACATCTGTTTTATTGGGTTGAGAATTTAAAGAATTACAAATTCAAATCTGCATATTTCTTATGCGCTGGCAACTAGATGTTGGTCGAGTAATCATTAACTGTCGTTTTCATATTAATTTTTCATTTCATTGGCTTCATCCGTTGATATTACTATAATAATCATTCAATGAACAGCTGATATGAAGCTATAAGGAGTCCACACGTCGATTTGATTTATAGTGTGACAATGTAAACAATCAAACAGGGTACGCAGACTCTTTGAGCCATCTACTTTAATTCCGAAATATTGCTCCTTTGTTGCCGCCTGTAAACCTAGCGACACGTCGACACTATAGGTTATTGTCCCGCCATTTGAATTTTACGTCTTCGGTCAAAGCAACACAAGTGTGTACAATCATATCATAAAGCAAGTAATATTATACTCCAGGTTATTCAATAATTCAAGTGTCTTACAAACCATGTTACGCAAACATAGGATCACAGGTTAAGCTTTCACACTAACCTCCCTTGGTGCTTCTGTATTTGGTAGCATTAAATAAAAGTAGACATGTTTATCTCCGACTACAGTAGGTACTCCGGGGTCGAGTGTATCTGGAGGGTGGGGGTGAGGGTGGGAGTGAGGGGTGAGGGGTGGGGTTGGGGTAGTGCAGCGGCGACTGTTCAATTATGTATCTTCAATTACTCCTGTCAAGCGTGATGGGGGGCAATGCGCATTATTTCCCCATCTGCTGTCTCGTAAAATTTGTAATATGCACATATCGCGCGTGTCATTTTATCCAAACACATAAACTTGATTTTAAAGTTAGGCGATTAAATATTCTGTGGCAAATAATCATCACAGTCAATATCATGTCAATATCTTCCAATACCTGTGATTTTATCTTCACAGCTGCTGTGTTGTTTATATTTACACTAGAAACGACAATCAACCCCAGAAAACATTCCTAAACCGCGATGTCGCCCTATGACCGCTGTTTACACGTAACGCTTGTTGCGAATAAAAGTGTTGGCCATTAGCAGCGTGAATTGGGGTAGCTATTGAGTGCTTATTCCAAGTTGTGCCTCATCCCCGAACGAGGCTTTCATTAACGTGCTATTTTTAGTATCACTTGGTTTTTCTTCCCATAAGTCCTGACTAGTGTCGTGTGCAAAAACGTAATTCCAGTCTGACATGTGCAGGCCACGTGTTATATTAGGTCTTCCAGCCTTCAGATATCGTTCGATAGCATCCTTTAATAAATCCTTATGGATATGATGTATATTTGGGGAACGCGACCGATAAAGACCGTTGTAAAATAAAGCGCAAGTCTGACTACCCGGAATGGAAGCTGCTGCTGTACCCAACACGTTATACACACAGGAGAATTTGACAGCGACAACCAGTGTCGGGGCGGATTACAGGCAAAACCAGTTTTAGGAGTGACGAATGGCAAACACCAAAAAGATACGTATGCTGGACTGGAGACACTGAGGCTAATCGTTACTTTGATAGTTTACACTATAACAAGTTAACTATATTATGTTCCCTTCCGCCCACCCCTTATTGTAATGCAATGAACCCAAATGAAGCAAGTCTAGATTTTCCACAGGTTATGAACCTCCAATCTCACTGGGTTTCCTCTTTATTTAAGACAGAGCTGTTGTCTGACTAAGCGTTAGCCTATTACTCTGACAAAGAGTATGATATGGGGTTTAACGTCGCGTTCAATATTATTGCACTATAATATCTATCTATCTATCTATCTATCTATCTATCTATCTACCTACCTACCTATACGCACGCACGCACGCACGCACGCACACACGCAAGCACGCACACCACACACACATACATGCATAGTATATACTATAGTGCAATACTGAAAGCGATGGGGACAGACACACTGCAGTGTGATAGTAAACCGGATATGTCTCAGCCAGATGCTGAAATTACAATTTGGAATGTTTTAATATATATTTTCATAATGATTTGTCATGTACGTGTTTCGCATGTAAGTTTGTCATTAAACATATGTCAGACAATGATACAATTTATTTTTAAAGTTTGTTTACATCTTTCCAAATACATGTACAATATGGGTATGCAAATTTGTAAACAGAAACCAATGTGTTTCTTTTGAAAAGTAATACAGGGTACGATTAAACCAATGCCAAATTTAGCTGGAAACTTTGAGTAACTGGTGCTTAACTTTTTTTCCAGGAGAATATATTAAACCAAAGCAAAGTACCACAGTCTAGTCACGCTGCGCGGCCCAGTTTGTATTATTGCTCGTCATTCAGGGTAATAAATGAACAAGAACACGGCGCCGAACTGTAAACCGGGTTGTGTGGGGTATCGCCGGGTCTTGCCCTATACGCCGATCTTAGCGCCGGTCTTCGAATCAACGGCAGACATAAAAACGTCTACCCCTCACTAATGTCTAATAAAAACGCTGGCTCTCAAGGCGTCTTAAAAAATCATTTATTACCTTTTTTTAACGTTGATCACATTAGATCTAAAGATAAAAAATCCACTTTGAATAAACTGACAATGTATATTTGCGGTCCATGTTTTCATTTTTTTGGGGGGTAGGGGCTGTGGGGTAGCCTTGTGGTGAAAGCGTTCGCTCCACACGCCGAAGGCCCGGGTTCGATTCCCCACATGGGTACAATGTGCGAAGCCCATTTCGTTGTGTCTCTCGCCATGATATTGCGACAATATTGCTAAAAGCAGCGTACTACCATATTCACTGGTTAGAATAATGAATCATTTACAAACAAAAGGTTGATGTACATCTGGAGGCACGGGTGTCCAAGTTGTCTAAGGCGTCGCAATTCTGTTCAAAGCGGCGTGAGCTGACGTCACTCACTCGCTTATTAATTTACTTTTCGATTTTTATTATGTCCTTTTTACACTCACTCACTCACTCACTCACTCGAGTGAGTACGCACACACAGCACACCCTGCTTTAAAGTGGAACGATCACACACTAAAACTATATTGAAGGATAATTTGGATTGTTTTGAAGAATTAACATAACTGTTACTGAATATATGTGAGAAATATATGCAGAAAGCGTACTTACCACCTCTTCTCTTAGTATCTGTAGCAGGTTATTCATTGAGAAACTGTAGGATGTCAATTTTCAAAACCGAGACGTCAAGTAATAGCACGCGACAGATGGCTCGTGCAGCGTCCACTGACCATTGGTCAGTTAGCACAGTAGGAGGTCAGCGTCCCTTGTCATCAAAGGGCCGACCAGGTAAGTCTGTTACAGGTGTGAGGACTCTGAAACGGAAGAAGCCCTTAAAGATTTGATCTCCAATAATATATCACACCCAACCGCTACAGCCTGACCCTTAAACTGCCAATCTCAGGCAGGTGCAAAGACCTATGTTAATAATGGACTCTTCCAAGGCAATAACGCCAATCGTAAATAAATTCGTGTCCATTTGCGCAAAGGGGCATTTGGTAGTTACAATAACGACATGTGTCAGTGCTATTACATGTCGGTGACTTGAAAGAGATACATAATGCTTTCATTCATAACTTCTTATCAACACATGCCCACACAATCGAAGCTATGGTAATGGGAGCGTTCAGGGCAATTAACTCACAGATAATTATCATAGAATCTATGCCCAACAGTCTGTTTGTTTTTCAATATCAGAATGCAATTCAGCACATAGGGGAGTCGTTGTTGCATTATAAAACCAAGCCATGCCATGTGCCATACTGAGTCCCCATGCGGGGAGAAATTAGACATTTGTGAATGAAAGGGACCTATAGCAATTTATTGCCGCGTGGAGCTTTCTATAGAAAACTTATAAAAGCATCATCCTTTATTATTATATAATGTGCTTAAAGTCCGTATTTGCTGGTTTTAACCTATTTATTAGATGTGTTTTCAAGCTTTTATGGTTGGTACAGAATACTCTTTCTTTGGTTTTACTCTGCGTAACAGTTACAACGTGTGCACATTATGATTTGCATTCGTGCCCCTCTCGTGGCCATTTTTGTGACCGGGTTCCGTCTTAGCGCAAACGGTCATACCTAAAACAATTGTCAACTCGTTACGTAATGGTTCACATATTATTTCCCCATGTGTTATATATATTTTAGATGCAATTTAAAGCACATCGGGACGTGCGGAATTATACAGTATGACTGAACACATGTAACTGTGTCTTGGGTATATTTTAAGATGCAAAACATATGTAAAATCAAAAATTATTTCTGAGGGATTCTTTGACGAAGAACTTGAAATCATACGCGCATTCTGGTTGGTTTGTCGTATTTTCGCACATAACATTCATCGATAGGGGGACGAGTCTTGTTGCAGGTTACGGAAAGGGGCGAGTGGTGACGAATGTATGATTTGATGTTATCCACCACGATGTCTACACATATTGGAAGTATGTCATTTAAAACTCGTTAAACCGGACAGTGAAATGGTCAGGTGGTGATAAGAGTCTGGGTAAGTGGACCATGGTACTAGTAATAATAGTGTGAACTCTGGAACTATAAATATTTCGTCAAACCATATCCTAGCACTACCCCAAACACCCATTTATTAAGGTTGTTTGTTTGTTTGTTCGTTGTTTAAGGCCACACTAAGCAATATCCCAGCTATATGACGGCGGTCTGTATATAATCGAGTCTGGACCAGACAATCCAGTGATTGACATCATGAGCATCGATCCACGCAATGGGGATACGATGATATGCATCAACCAAGTCAGCGAGCCTGACCACCCGATCCCGTTAGTCGCCTCTTACGACAAGCATAGTCGCATTTTACGGCAAGCATGGGTTGCTGAAGACCTATTCTACCCTAGATCTTCACGTGTCGTTTATTAAGTGTTTGAGTATACACATATATGTGGTCTGGACCCAAATAGAAAACTTCAGAATACCACACGTCTTTGCAAACAAGGCGTATAAAACGAATGGCAAAGTGTTTATTGATTATCAGTAATTTGTTTTTCATTTCATTACATCTACCAAACGCCCAGTGTGGGATCGATGTCAATTATTGGTATTTTATCTTGTCATTGATGTGCTAACATTTGATCACGTTAATTGAAAAACACCGATTCAGACCGATCAATCATTTGTTTCCAGGGGTTCTCCTGCTAATCAGATGATTGAGTCTGACGTTAACAAAGTTTAAAGGTTTTTAAATTGCGAAACAAACCATGATCAGTTAATCGCATGATAGGTATTAACGTAACGCCTAACATATTTAAAAGGATAACAAATAATCGCACTTGAAATTGTCCATTTATTTATCGAATTGATCGACGCAGAGCTCTCAAGACAGAAAAAAAACTTACCTTAACTCCAAACAAACAGAGTAGTCCGAAGTTAAATATTTGTTCAGATGGTTATCATGACATCAAACATCATCATAAGTGTGTTGGTTGCACAACACTGAAGACTGTACATACCCAGACTACCAACTCCAGGTAGACAGCGTTCAGTTTGCATTATCATGACTCTAGCCAGGTGTGCAAGCAGCAGGGGTCATCAGACGGAGCACACTGGAGGTACTTTACAGGGAGATAGCATCTCGGGGTATGTCAGCTCTATCATTATATACTTCAAGGAGGTAATCGGGTGGATCATCGCCTTGGTAGACTTGGTGTAAGACTCCTTTTATATCACAAAGCTGGTGGAGTTATTTTAGGACTGAAAATATACGAGGTGTAATGCCGATTTTAACTTTTGTTATTTCTATGTAGATGTCATGGATATTAGGCCGCTATCAGTCTTTTGCTGTCCTTCGGTCATTCTGGGGTGATTGATTTGTTTGTTTGTTGTTTTACGCCGCATTTAGCAATATTCCACCTATATGACGGCGGTCTGTAAATAATCGAATCTGGACCAGACAATCCAGTGATTGACATCATGAGCATCGATCCACGCAATTGGGATCGATGACATGCTTCAACCAAGTCAGCGAGCCTGACCACCCGATCCCTTTAGTCGCCTCTTACGACAAGTATAATCGAATTGGGTTGCTGAAGACCTATTCTACCCCGGATCTTCACGAGTCGGGAAGATTATTAGCCATTTAGATAAGCGTTAGCTCTTCACGCCGAAAGTGGGGCGGTCGGGTAGCCTAGTGGTTAAAGCGTTCGCTCGTCACGCCGAAGACCCGGTTTCGAATCCCGACATGGGTACAATGTGTGAAGCCCATTTCTGGTGTCCCCCGCCGTGATATTGCTGGAATATTGCTAAAAGCGGCGTAAAACCAAACTCACTCACTCACTCACTCACGCCGAAAGTCCGGGTTCAATTACGTGTGAAGCCGATTTTGGTATTCGCTGTCGTTTAATGTCTGGAATACTTCTTAACTTGCTGGAGAACCATCTTTGGTCGTTGGTAACACGACAATTGCCACACTGCCTGTGGTATATGTTGTGTGTTATAGTGACCCACAGTGTGGCAACATTTAAGGTGTGTGTTTTTGTTTGTTTTGTTTGATTGTTGATAAACGCCGCACTCAGCAATAATCGAGTCTGGACCAGACAATCCAGTGATTGACATCATGACCATCGATCCAAGCAATTGGGATACGATGACATGCATCAACCAAGTCAGGGAGCCTGACCGCCCCATCCCGTGAGTCGCCTTTTACGACAAGCATAGTCACCTGGGTTGTTGAAGACCTATACTAACCCGGATCTTCACGAGTAAAAGCTGCATGTATTCTATATTCACTCTCATAATACAATACGTGGCAAAACGTATTATCAACATGGTGAAATAATTGGTAATGGTCATTCAGCACTATCAGAGGAATACCTCAGATATACCACAGAAACATTAGAAACTTCATACTATCACAGGTGAGGTGAGGTGAAATGGGGTTTTAACGTCGCGTCCAAGATTATTGCACTTATATAGCGACGTGCATGTACGTGTGTGTGTTTGTGTGGCTGCTTGTACTAGTCCGGACTGATGCCGATTTATAGTGCTAGCTCACTGAGATACCATGCCGCAGTTTAACATGAATACCCCACTCAGACACAGTATACTGACTCCGAGCCGACCAGTCCTTGTCTTAGCCCGTTAATGCCGAGCGCCAGACAGGGTAACAACAAGTACCATCTTTTAACGTCTTTTGATATGACGCGGTTGGGGATCGAACCCCCGACCTTCCGCTCTCCGGGCGGACGCTCTACCACTAGACCACGGAGGCGGTCATACTATCATAGACACATAAGAGGTTTAGCTCAGCTATATCACAGAAATACCAGGTGATTCAGCTTTATCATCGAAACATATTTGTTATATCTCAGCAACGTCACTATTAAGAGGCATCTTAAGTATATAACAGAAACACCGTATGTATGTGTTAGCTAGATCATATAAACCTGGACACGCTGAGTAGTTTCCCTTAGCAGTTGCAGGATCTGCTGATCATGGATTTGCGTTTCGGATTTGAGCTCATAATGATGTTTGCTTTAACTGGACAATGATTTTGTTCTTCTACCGTATGCGTTGGGTCTACTCCCACATCCAGCTGACACGTCATGATATAACTGAAATACTATTCAAAGTGCGTAAAACAAAATTCACTCACTCACAGAACAAAGGTTTAATCGTGAGTGTCAGAAGCACGGAAATATCACAAATCATATCACAAATCATATCACCAATCATATAAGAGGGGCATCTAAATACAAACTACAAAACCCTTTCCATGTTCATAAGAAATCTTTGTCGATCAGAGTCGATTGTAGATTCTGACTATTTGAGCCATCTTGACGACTCTGTAGCAAGTCTATGTGTGGTCGTCTGTCGGGTTTGTCGCGAGTCAAACGACGGCTACACAACACCGCGTCGCCATTGTCATAAAACGGTCTAGACGGAGTCTATACGAATAAATACACAGTTTCACTTCAATACACTACCACTCAATGCAGGTCTACACGGGCACCTGCGTCAGTATGCAGAGGTCAGCTGTTTGATTGACAGGTCGTCTTTAGCCAATCAGTTTCACAATGACTGAGTGCTTCAGTGGAAAGTAAATGCCATTACTTTCATAATGACTACTTTTAGTGTTGTCGATATCCACTTATCCAAACACAACGCTGATTTATATGAAACTTCTTTTGTGTGGGTATAACAATACACCGAATAGAATCCTCCTTTGTGTTGTGTTAGAATTTATTAACAACAGTTACCCCTTAAGGCATATGATAAAGGAGTGAGTGAGTGAGTGAGTGAGTTGGGTTTAACGCCGCTTTTAACAGTATTCCAGTTATATCACGGCGTGTCAGCTTAATATGGGAGGAAAGCCAGAAGTGATGCAGGTCTCAGACGTTTACCACTTCGGTGAAACCCACGAGCACGGGTCTGGTGCTGACAAACCTAGAAACATAATCGGGGCGAACCGGGATTCGAACCCACAATCATAGGTTTCTGGCGTGCCCAAGGGACGCAACTCTGCACAGCGAATCGCGGCGCCTTAGACGACTGGGCCATCCGTGACCCCATATGATAAAGGAACACACGACTGAAGGCATACCGCACACACGTGTGTTTACCCGTGAAGATCCGGGTAAGAATAGTTCTTCAGCAACCCATGCTTGTCGTAAGAGGCGACTTAAGGAAGCGGGTGGTCGCTGACTTGGTTGATGCATGGCATCGTATCCCAATTGCGTAGATTGATGTTCATGATATCAATCACTGAATTGTCTGGTCCAGATTCGATTGTTTGAAAACCCTCGTCATGTAGCTGGAATATTGCTTAGTGCGGCGTTAAACAACAAACAAACACACACGTTTGGGTAATGGGTTCTGGGGTGCATATCGTAAGCAAGGTTGACCACGACATGACTGCCTATTTGAGATAAGAAGAACAATCAGTAATTATGCTTGTGAATGTTCTTTCATACACAATCATCACTCTTCCTGCTGCATCACTGGTGCCTACAAATAATCCATTCAGTGCCAGCAAGCCAGTGGTTGATAGCATGAGCATCTATACACGGCGTTATGACACACAATCAGCCTTGGGGCGGTCGGGTAGCCTGGTGGTAAGGGTTCGTTCGTCACCCCAAGACCCGGGTTCGATTCTCGACATGGATACAATGTGTGAAGCCCATTTTTGGTGTCCCACGCCGTGATATTGCTGGGATATTGCTAAAGGCGGCGTAAAACCATACTAACTCACTCACTCACTCACTCACTCAGCCAGGTCACACACTGTTAACCATCCGATCCTCAATTCAGTCGACTCACAGAGAAACATAGGTAATGGGGGGCGTAATCTGCACGGAATCCAAACAAGGACAGTAGTTCTGTGACAACAGTACATTTATCTGACGACGGACAAGAAATAATTCTCACCAAGTCTTAAGAAATACGGGAGCTTCGTGTCTTCGTTTTTTAACTTGGTGCACAGGGTTGCACATTGGTCTAAGGCATCTCTATGCTACTAAATGGCTTTTCATGGGTTCGAATCCCACAATTATCTCCGTTTGTGGTCTATCGACTGCCAGCACTATGCCTATTCTCGTGGTAAACAATAATATCTTCGGCCAAATCTCTAGATACATTGCCATACGACTTTGAAATTTTGTGATGCAAGCGGCGTAAAACCGTATTCCCTTAGCATGTTCAAACGGCGTAAAACCAAACTCGCTCACTCACTACCTACAGGTAAAGCTAACAGTATTTCAGGTATATATATCATTGAGTGCTTGCTTAAGGTGAAAGAAAGCCAACAGTAACATAGGTCATTTCATAAGTGTCGGATTACCAGCAAACATACATTTGTTTAGCGTTAAGGGGGTAAGGGTGACACTCACGACAGTCTTGACATTCTCATAAATAAGCATAAGAGACATGTCGAGAACACCGGGAAGAATTATCAGCCATTAATACGTAGTCCCCAGGACGTGTGGAGGAGATTTACCCCCTCCTCTCACGCCAGGGTGTTTGTGTTTTGGTTGTTTAACGCCGCACTCAATATTCCAGCTATATGACGGCGGTCTGTAAATAATCGACTCTGGGCCAGACAGTCCAGTGATTGACACCATGAGCATCAATCTATGCAATTGAGATACGTTGACATGCATCAACTAAATCACCGAGTCTGACCACCCGATCCCGATAATCGCCTCTTACGGCAAGCATGGGTTGCTGAAAACCTATTCTCTACCCGGGTCTTCAGGGGTCTCACACGAGTGTGTAACTGTCTGTACAATGACTCCCTGGTGGAATGGGGCCCATGATCCGAAACGTATCAAAGCATTAATGAGAGTTTGTGGCAAATATACACAACAACATGGAACTGTAGCTAAAAGGGGAAATTATATTAATTAAACGTGTCTATTGTGTACGTCGCCACGTCAAGAAGGTGTTGACAGGTGATGATCTTGTCCAAGAAAGAGTGAGTGAGTTGGGTTTAACGCCGCTTTTAACAGTATTCCAGTTATATCACGGCGTGTCAGCTTAATGTGGGAGGAAAGCCCGAAGTGATGCAGGTCTCAGACGTTTACCACTTCGGTGAAACCCACGAGCACGGGTCTGGTGCCGACAAACCT